TATTGCAGCATACCTGTGTACAAAAATGGTTTATTTCTATGAGGTGAATTTTTAAGTGTGGCCTTTGACAGAAGTGGCAAGTTTCTTTTGCTGTCCAGTTTAGTATTGCTGATAGCTCACTGCACAGCTGAAAATCTCAGTCAAAATTTACGCAATGTCTACCTTTTAATTCATTGGAACTTTTATTTATGAAATAATTTTCTCTAAATTAAGAAATTCTTTATTAGAAAATCATCTTGTTCCTTCATTCTGGATGCAAACTGGATTTCTTGCATGGTTACTTTTTATTCGTGAAGAAGTTTTTGTCACCATCTGGAACTGGGAAAAACTGATTCAGAACTAGGAAGTGTCCTCGTCACTTTCGTTGGTCCTGTAAGTCCAAATTAAAAGATAGGATTTAAAATAAATCTCCAACACACAAGGCGGACTACTGATCAGATTTCACCGGAATCTGAGGGTTTTTATGGCTGCAATCTGACTGAATAATTTTCGTATCCCCAACTATAAAAACGACCGATAATCATTATTGGAAGCACTCCTAATGTTTCTTTCATTTCTTAATGAAAAAAATGGTTACATTCACTAACAAAGTTATTTGGTTGCAGGACTTTCTGGCAACTTCGTGAACTTCAAACTATCTTACTTGATTTTGTTTTGGGACTAGCCTGCATTTAAGCCTTATCCTCTTGCGATCTTGCTTTTATAATTGAAAATATTGAGGAATTAGTTTGTGGGGAATTGTATGTATTAAGAGCAATTACAGTTTGATTTTTTTCTTTTTGTGATAGTGGGGGACTCCGTACTCTTACTTTGTTGAACGAAAGATAAAAATTGAACTTTGCAACACCTACCAAACAAGAGGTAATTACGCCCATTCTAATTTGTTTGCCAGGTTGTTAGCAATGTTAAACTGAAAGTACGTGTAACTACTCAATAAAACACAGCACCCGGTTATTTTTCATTGACAAAATAGTTGGGGATATTGTCGCATCATAAGCAACAGTTTTTTTGTGGATGTAGATGAATCTTGTGTGCCAGCCAAGTTTAATGTAGTTATGTTATACGTGTATGAGTTTAATAACTGGCCTTGGCCTTGGAGACTGTGGCCTCGGCCTTGAATGGCAGTTACTCGGTCTTGGTTTTGGAAACCCCGGACTCGGACTCGAAGGTTGTAGACGAGACTCCAACACTGACACGGAGTATCCCCTCATCTTTAAGTGTTTTATGAAATTAAACTGAAGAGGGAAACTAGGCTAATTTTTTTTTTGGGGGGGAGACTGAGAAAATCGTTTAAAATACTGATAGACCTATCACCGTCGCAACCGCAGTCACAGTCTCTGCAGCTCCAACTCATTACTTTATCGTGCCATACTATCTCATCGCACCACCCAAACCGTCACGCATCACTTTGTTTCATTTAAGATTTCCTATGCGTCCAAAAAAGATTGGAAGAAAGGTACCGACTGCATCCCGTCTCCTTCTGCCACTTATTGGCTAACCGTGGACTACAGCTTCATTTCTTGATCCCGTCGACGTAAAGTTCACTGACGAATATATTGCATCCGGGTGAAAGTTTACAGGCCTGTCAAACTCTACGAAGAGTTATACCCGCCGCCCCCTTCGTTCCAACTATTGCCGAATTTATCATGATTCAACAATTGCATTTCAGTTTTAACAGTAAGATCAAACCGAGACGTTTTTCTACGGAGAATTTGAACTGACCAAGTCCGCGTCTGACTTTCAATCAACTAGTCGGTGGGAAGGAAGGCATTTTGCAATTTCTGGACAAACAAAAATTTTGCCATTTGAGTGAAAAGCAAAAGAATTAATACGCTGTTTTCATCAGACACTGTTAAGTCAAGGATTTGCTGAGTCGGTCAACACCTTAGAAATTAGGAAAAGAATCTATAATTGATCTGTAACAGTTAGTTGCATGAAAACAGCGTGTGGCCTTGCAGGCTTTGTGGGTTTGTGGCCAGTTATAGGTTGAAGATAATCCAGCAGCTGGTATATGCTGGTCTTGGGCAAGTCACCTGACCCCTATTTACCTCTCTACACTGTCACATGTATTTCGTAAGCGGATCCTTAATTACAGCTCAAAGGGGGCATCCCCCATCCAAACAAGGTGGGGCGATTTTGTTGCAGTTTAATCTATTTATTTCTTGATTGAAATACAAAAGAGAAACGGGCGAATTTCGAGGGACTAATTGTCTTCCCTCCAAAAGTGCGTGAAGTGGGCCCCAAGAATTCAGCCTAACTTGAGCAAGTAAGCAACTACATCTGTGCAATGTTTCAAGCTAGGCGTAAAAAATCACGAAATCTAATATCTTCATTTTTCAAGAAATCAAAAACATCGAAACGCGGATACGTGCCTCGTAAGTTTTTAGACAATGTCCCACTGACGCAACGGATGTCAAAATTAAATACTGCCCTCTATGTTTGCCCTGCATATGCAACTGTGAATACCAGGATCCCTTCTAACATTCCAAGGACAATAGACAGGCTTATAATAGATTTTTTTCTTTTGAAACAGTAGCCGCTATTTTTGCGGGAGGCAAAGTTCACAGGAACGTCTGCCATGGTGGCAGTTTTGCCTCAAACTGCACGGCTACTTCATTGGTATTAAAGACGGAAGCATTTTAGTGTTTCATTAATAACGTTCGTCCTTCCGTGTTTTAATGCTTTTTGAGAGTTTTGAAGACTTCAATTATTCCTTTAGTTGCAGCTGTGTACGGTCAGCCACAGTTTACCAAGCCCTGGTTGGCAAACATTATGTCTCTAACGTAGCAAAAGAAAGGTCCATTGACGATGCTAATAGGGTTTCGTGGACAACCTTCTTAAGATATGGAGTGAGGTGAAATATCTGTTCAGATTAAGGAATGAAAAGTCGAAATTTTATAACTTTGGTTTCATTTTCAACAGATAATGGAAGTTGTCACCTGCAAGTTTCAGTCGGTTAATCTAAGATACACTGGGGGCGGGGGTTCGTTTCAGATAGGAGAGGAAAATTTGTCCATTGACGCTACGCAAAAGGGAAACCCGGTAAACAAGGTTGTCACCTAGCCAGAATAAAAAAAATGACAGTCTGACTACACCATATTTTACATGCTGGCTCCCAGACGGGTGGATTCCATCCCGTCTCGGCCGTGCTGCGTGCAGGACGGATTTCATCAAAATCGAAAACGATCTCGCATGTCGTAGAAAAAAAATACGAACTCTGGTTCGTGTTTTACACAGCCATTTTGATAGCTGCAGTTAAGTGGCAAACGCGTCACAAAATGGCAATACGTGTAAAGGATGAATACAGTACAACGTCGCAGTCTGTGGTATGGAAGCTTGCTTGGCAATTAAGCTCCGTTGGAAATCCATACTTTTACAATACTTTGAACGTGGTGAAGGATATTCCAATCGCAAAAAAACCGGAAAAGTATGCCAAAGAAGCTCAACACAAAACTGCAGCCATGAAACAGGAAGTTTCGGTACTCGACGGGTTTGCGGTGACAAAAAGAAGAAAGAATCTAGTTTGAGAAGACGAAGTGAGATTCTGAAACCTAGAACTGGTGGTTTGGGCTTGCCATTTCGAAAGTTGTATCATGGAACCATTTTTCACGAAATCCATCCCATTGTATTTGATTCCTGTCGATTCGATTCGGGAATGATATTTCTCCTATATATATCGAATCAATATTTCTTTGTTGACCGACATCGAATCAGGCAATGGTAATTGTATCTTGTTATCAAAATAACCACATCTCGGTCGAAACATGGAAAAGATGCCCAAAGCTACTTGGGATTGAGGATCGTAGAGTTTATGATTGAAAAGGTTCTGTTTTCGATGCCACTTATCATAATCACTAATCTGAAAATCTGGACACGCTCCTAGACAGATTTTTGTTTTATTTAGGGAACACCTAAAAACCTCACATTCATCAAAACGGGGTTGGAAGTCCACAATGTGTTTTACCAAATCAAATTAAAGACGAAAATAAAACATCACGTTACAAAAACATGTCACAAAATCACCCCACACTAGACACGTTTTCAAGATCAAATACACTAGGCGGTAAATTTTCATCCATCATTATTTTTTTCTTTGCAGCATTTACAACAAAAAGTTCCAAACAGAAATTTTCGGGATAACTTGTCATGCTAGAGGGGCAACTTCCTTCAATTTTATTTCATCTATTTTCATCTCTCCTCATTTCACAGACATTTTGGCTAGACTTGTCTGTTAACACTGCGCAAGAATGTATAATAACTCGCAGTTGGACTTGGCCAACCCTACAGTCGCATTTGGCGGTGGTGGAGGGGAATGAGTGTACACATAATGCATTGGGCTTGTATGTAACAAGGCAGTGATATATTAGTCCATTGATTCCTTTCGTTTCTTATCCACCGGAAAGATGCTTGCCCTTGCTGACAGCAATTAAAAATCCCCAATAGTTGCACGTATGGACATGGTGTAGATGAAACAGACACTGAGGGGAACCCTTTTCTAATTAAGGACATGGATCCAACTGTGTGTGGACGTCTTCGATCCAAAATGTATGCAGTGTGTGCGCACGTGCCTTTTTTTTCTGCTCGATCCCCGGAAAAAGAATACTAAGCCGTTTCTAAAATGTTATAATACGGATCACAATACGCACTTATAATATGTGGAATATTCCACAGATCCATATCCAGACACGTACGAGTCGATGGAACAAACAACCACGAAAAAGGAGATCAGGATAGTGCGCAGTCGAAGGTCTATACCTCTGTGTCGCATTGCTTTCAGCTCGGTGTGGGTGCGTTTCTCGTTCTTACTTCTGTTTTAAATTGCCAATGTGCAATTTGGGTTGTTTTGTTTCTGAATCTCTTCCTGTATTACAAACAGACCTTGAGGTTAATAACAAATATAGGTTGCACCATTTTACCGTGTCGGGGGTGCTGTAATTTTCGATCATTAACTCCACAAGATCAGCGTCAACTTTAGCAAAATATTAGACAAAAACATTACTCTCAAATCCGCTTAATAGTTAATGCGAGCAAGACCGGCCGAACCCATCACTGATTAACACTGTTATCTCAGCCGTTATCAGTCCCATGCAAATTATGTTCATGAATTATGCAACGGATAGGTGTGTCCTTAACGGAGTTCAGGGGTTGGACTTTTTTTCTACGATGACCCCTCGAATTTGCAGGGGAAAAATATAAAGTAAACACTGGGAAATGAATGTACATACACGGGTTGTGTGCACAAAGTACAGGGCTGTATTTATCCGGTGGATCGGTGCCCCGAACAGGTGTAAACGAGCCATCACACGGCGGGACACTACAAAGAGGTTCACCACAAAAAACCACCACGCGTGCCATTCTTGTTTCTCTCACACGATGTAGCCAGAAAATAGAGATGTTTTCCTGGAGAAATTTCAAGGACTAAGAAAGAGCGATTTTGAATCCGGAGTTATCAACATGTCCGGTGGCGTTACGGAGCTGCAGAGGCAGCTCATTCTTGCCTTGGTGCACTCGGGGCTGGATAAAACAGAGTTGATCCGCGAGGTCTCCATGGCCTATCCAGCCACGGGGATCGGGACGGACCGCAACGGGGAGATGCGTCCAAACCACGGCGTGAGTGCCGGCGAGAGCTCGGCGGCCGTGACCGTTACGGCGAACGCGTCGCCGGTGATACGGAACGCTGCGGACAGCGCCGCGCGGGAGCGGGATGAAGACCACGAAGATGACGGGCTGAGACAGGGAGGCAGCGGGGACGAGCTCAGCGAAGACGAGCACCGGCAGGGAGAGGAGAACGGAGGCATGATGAGTGGAGATGACTTCGAGGGAAGTGAGCATACGTTCGACCACTCCATCGACCCATCCAGGCCTGTGTCTCTCAAAGATGAGTTACTAAGGTAACCTAGTACAAGTGTCCAAAGCTTTCGGGGTTTACGTACTGGGTTTTTCGTTAATTATAACATGAATTTTCCAACATCAAGACATGATTTGATAAACAAAAAGGAAACTAGTATCAATGTAGCTTTGTGCTGTAAGGATGTAAAATGTCTTCATACAAAAATTGGAACCAATTCGAAGTAAAAATTTCCATCGGAGTTACGATTTAGACAGTTAACAAATCTTGGGAAAATATTCGCACTGGGGCTTCTTACACGGCCAAAATACGATTTTGAAATTCATTTAAATTCTTTTGTCAGTAACCTACCCTACTTTTCACATTTCATCAACGGACGTATTGTTTCTCACATGTAGTTAACACAATCTTAAATTTGTAACAAAAATAAATCTGCGACCCCCTGAACTTTCCTTAACTGTTCCGAATGTTTTGACAAATCATACACTCAAAGAAACGTGAAGTATCCACGTAAACAACTAATATTCTTCTTGGCTCTATATTGGCACGGCTCTAATATTTTTGGGCCATGCATTTCATGATCAAATCCATATAGCTTCCAAGTTGCAGACTCTGCCGTTATGTTGCCTCGTATAACACTCACCTCTTTGAAGAGACTTAATTTTGATTTACCCTAACAGTCCTGAATCATCCCATACCTCGCGCACAAATTATGGCACCGATTCATAATAATAAACTGAATTAAAGTTTTCGTTCAACAGATTTGCTTTAAAAATTAATCTAACTTTATCCTTCTTTCTTCAGAATGTCGACATACATTGCAGATAAAAAAAAACCGTGCCCGTTTGGCGCGCTCTTTGTACCGATCCTTTGCGATTTGGTATGTCTAAAATTCGTGGCTGTGACAAAACGCTCCCTCGTATTACCGAACCTTTACCATCCCATTCAGCAAAATATTTACTCTGCACTTCAGCGAGGAAAACGAATCAACTTTGAAAAGCAAATCAAACTTATCCAAAACCCGCTCGTCAGAAATTAAAGTTTAATACACTTTTGTGAGAAAGAATGGAAAAAAATACATTTACGTCTGGTAAGTGGCTTTGTAGTAACATTAACAGTAAGATTTAAATGTTCAGATCGTCGACTTGAGATAAGGCTAACGCCCTTGAAAGCGGCATGGTGAAATGATGTTTGAAATCTGCTGAAAGAAACAGATACAATTTTAAAGCTACCGTAATAATTTGAGAATTTTTTTTCCTGTGGCAAACGTTACGGCCATTGTTGGGGATTTGCGGTCCAAAAAAACCCGCAATTCTTGAAGAAATACACTGTTCTTTGAGAAATGAAAAGAATTTTCCACAAAAGGAGAGAGTCCAAAAAGGATTGAAATTCTTCCATAAAAAATACATGTTATAACATTGCAAGGGAAACCGGCAAAAGTTGACCAACCTGCTTTTTGATATAAGGAACAATAATTACAGCCAAAATCGAAGAGTCCAACAAAGTTCATTGTGCTTTTCTGCGGAAGCCAGGAATGGAAAAGGAATGCTGAACAAAACGAAAAGTGGAACAGCTTTCCAAAATTATTGATAAAATGAACGGGGGGACGCAAGTTGCGTCGGTTCGTACAAATGAACTGAAACGCAGCCATTTTTCCTCTTCATAAGACACCTCATGCACGTACTACTTTCAGGACAAAGTTTCGACCAACGTATACGCCTACCGTGAAGTCGACTTTGTGCGCCCGATACCATCCTTACTCCGCTTGAAAACTCCCCAACCCCACCTTGTCTAAGTGGTCCGTTTTGGGATCAATTTCCAGGCGCTTTCTGATTGGTAAAAAGTTTCCTGGACCCAGGGGATAAAATGCAACCACTCTGGTTATTTCATAACCAGGCTTATGACGGCTAGGAATAAATGATCAACTCGGTATTATGGCTTAATTGCAGACAGGGGCTGAGGACCCGGGTAGATGATTTGCCAGACTTTATAACTTTATCTTTAGGGGCATGGTTGAAGCCCTATCTATTCTCAGTTCGGAGATCAAGGTATAAATACTAGTATGGTAAACTCTCCGTCCACCACAACATTACACCGGAGCGAGCGGTGCTGTTCATGGTGATGTCCAGCGGAATAGTACACCCGAACTCCCCGGGCGATGTGCGCCGACTCGCCGGTAGTTACACACGCATACACGGAGCCAGCCCCGGAATATTCATCTGCTGGGCCAGCCATTTTTTTTTCTGCGATGGTTTTCCATACCATCAGAAATTAGATCTGTCTTTAGCTCTCTCTGTGTATGTGTCTCGCTCATCACAACCATGGCGTTGGATAATATCAGAAGGTTGGACTTTGCTCCTGGCAGGCCATTTTCGGGGGGAGCGCGGGGCCTCTGCAGCGTGTTTGGAACAGGTTGGCTGTGTAAACTAGACCGACCCACTCCGTCAGAAGGTAAGACCAAACGGCCCCGGCAAGCAGTCGCCGCTACGCCGCCGCAGCAAAGCGGCGCGTTGGCGGATCCGCTAAATTACGAATATACACGGGAGGCCCGGCTCCGCGGGAAACTTGCAGGGGCTGCGCGCGCTGGGAATTGACTCGAGAAAATCAACGAAGTTTCCCCTTTGCCACATGGAATCGGTGGACATTTCGTCCCAGGAAGATGGAGTGCTCCTCATTTTGTTCAAAAAGTGCAAGTTTGGTTCGGGCGGTTCGATGGAAGCCGAAAATTATTTCGCACAATTAGCATAAAAAGAAACAAGACACGGACACGAATGGGAAATATTGCTGAATGTTTTTGCGACGCTTTAAAAACTTAAAACGACAAAATAACAAGGAGCTTGAAAGTCAGTCGGAAGTTTTGAGAAATTTAGGAAATAATGTCGTACGAAGTTCAATTTATTACTTTTGAGACCCAACAGGAAATAACAAATTACAAATTACATATAGGTAACAGTGTCAAAGTACACAGCGTACTAATTTAACTAGGCCCATATAGCGTGTGATCTACTGTTATATTTTGTGGTAAAACGAAACAACGAAACGCACATCATGAGCATGATGTGCGTTTTTCATCGACTTGGAGCTATCACGAGCAACAAAATAATTGCGAGGTAAAAATCGATAGACTATTTGATAGCGATTAATCAAAGCAACTATTTTTAAGACCGAAGCCTGAGTGGGCCTATAGGGCCTAATTAATGATTGATCTGTCTGTGAAAAAAATAAATCAATCGTCGATTTTTGAAACGATGATGTCAATGTTCGTTTCAAAACTGCGTGGTTCCTTACGCCACAAGATGACGTTAGCATCGTCAGATCATCATCTTATTTTGCTATTATGATCACTTGAGAAATAAATAGCGCCTTTAATATTGCATAACAGCAGAATGCGAGAGGCATAGGAAACAGCAATAGGCCTATATAGCAAAGAACTTTCACCGAGAGAAAAAAAATGCATTTCCCCATGACGATACGTCTTTGATACTAATTTAATACCTCCTTATTATAGCCACAATCGCAACAAAAACATCTGTTGAAAATGCAAACAAGTTAGCTACTGCAATCAATTTTCCTGAAAGACGGAAAACCGATAGTTACCATGGCACCGTTTTTTCTTTTAAAACTGTAATAGGGCTTTAAAATTGAATGAAATATAACCCATGAAAAGGTCTATGAATCATTATCTCTTTCAAAGAGAATTCCTTCTTCAAAAAATTTAAACGCACGTAGTAGCTGCATTTTACTCCCCTTCAATAGTTTACTTATTTCGAAAACAAATTCGGTTATTGATTAATTAATGGGATGATTAACGAAGGTACCACTGTCCGAATGTTGAACTTCATCCTCGACAAGACCGGTAGAAAAATTTTGAGCGTCATGCATATTTTGCCCAAATTAAGGTTTCATAATTAACAGTCTCAATTCCTGAGTAAATGGTCAATTAGAATTAACCGCTGCCATAAATTTCATCCAAGGGATTGTTTATAATAATAATGCAAATAAAATATTCAAAGGAAACTGTTTTACCTAGTAAGATCAATCATGCGCATTTTAATGTTTTTAACTAAAATTATTAAAGGCCGGAAAACTGTAAAATCTTTGCATACTTTTTGTGTGATGGAATTCACACAGCTACAATTTCATTGATTACAAGATGACAGAATGCGTATCTAATTGCACACAAAACCCCCAAATTTGAAGGCCTAAGCTGACAAAATTTACAGTGTCTGAAAGGAAAGGCTTCAACTCGTCATCTTCACAACAGATTGTCAGACTGACAAACCACAACTGGGTACCTCTCATTCTAGCTCGTTAAAAACATTGTCAGTGAGACGAGTTTTCGTTATCCGTGTTCACTCAAATGTTGGAGCGAGCGATAGGGCGGAGGTTTACTTTACGTCACAAACAGCCCGCTCGGTTTTTAACTCTCGCTTTCGTGTCAGGCATTTGGCACCTGGTTGCACGCCAAATTCAAGTCAACGAACATCAAGGGGATTTTTCTCTAGGAATGCCCCGAGGCAAATTGCTTACATGACATGGGGGGGGGCAAAATTGGCTATAGGACATAAGATCTCAGCATTGTTACAAACGATCAGGGGACAAAGTTTATTAAACCTGGATAAAGCCCTATCAGTAAAATGTTTCCCCTGGGGTCCCTGGAGGAAGAAAGGAAGGAGACAATGTCTAGTTCCGGAGGGAGGAAAACTCCAGATTCCGGGGAAAACCGTCCGAATCAGATAGGGATTAAGACCCCTCCATGCATATGTTGGCCTTGGCCGCAGAAGTGGAAGGCGAGAAAAGTACCACTGCGCCTATTGATATCGCCTTCCTAATGGTTGGGACATAAGCTAATTCCATCAAATCTATTTTTTTTTCATTCTCAGGGGTAATCGTCTGTGGACCTTGATAACAAAATAACAAAATAAACCGCGCCAATTTGTTGTGAGTTTGGAGTGTCGTGTAAGGAAAGACTTTTCATCGAGTTCACTTTGCAACCTTTTTTTTCTGCCAACGGTTGAAATGCTGACAATGTTAATATCGCCTACAAAGCATAATGTTCCTGTCAACGGTTGCCTGGTCTCCAGGGATATGAGATTATGAGATCTGAATATTTTCATTCACGGACGCGCTGATTAAATTCTGCCGAGAGTTTCTGATGTAGAAAGCTTTTGGCCAGGTTTGACATTCCTTTGCTAAAATCTCAGCTTCACAAAGAAAACTTTGCAGAGCATCAAGGCAAAGTTGTTCGTCTGGTTTGTTGCGAAGGAAAAGAGGAGAAACTGGGGGAAACCACAGAAATGAACCAGGTGATAGATGCATTTTGAAACTCGACTTCCCCTTCCGAATGCTCATACCTTCTCCCATGCACGAAGACTTGCCCGCCTACGTTCACCAATACAACGAAGAAAATTAAACGGTCGACGCGTGCCTAACGAACAGTGGCATAGCTAGGATTTTACGGGGGGAGGCGGGCACAAAGGGGGCACCAGCATCTTACGGGGGGGGCACCAGTTTGCAGTGGTGTGGTTTTTGGGGCAAGTTTTTGTTAGCCTTGTTCAATATCCATTCATCCGTTTTTTTTCCAGGGGGGCACGGGGAGCCACTGGGAATTTGTGGGGGGCACGTGCCCCCAAGCCCCCTACGCCACTGCAAAAGAAAACCACGGGGAAAAGATTGCAACCGAATGAAATCCCTGTTGAGATTGCATCGATCATAGCAGGGCGAACAACACAATTAGAAACAGTAGCTAAGACAAATGCGATAGGAAGGCTGTAGAGCAGCCATAGGAAAGGGATGGATGGCAGATGGCAACGCGATGTAGATTCGATAAGCAAAAATAGAATGCTGATAGAAGCAAACTTGGGATGATTAAAATGTGGAAATTAAGATGAAAATTGCAGCCTCCAACAGGCTACGTGCCTGATGGAAGATACAAGGAAAGCAAAAGTATAGCTGAGAAAGAAACCAAGTTAATTGAGGAAGTGAAATAAATTACCAAGACAGGAATTATCTCAAATAGCATTTGTTGTTTCTATACTTTGCCGAAGTAAAATATTGGAAAACATTAATTTATGACATATTAAACATTGCCTAAACTAAACTTTCGCAAACAGCCCCAAACATTGAGAATTACTACCAGTATCAAAAATTAACACCGAAAACAAAACCAACCAGCTGGTTACCCCGTAGTCAAAATGGTACATGCCTCCATACCTACGACTCCAACATTAGTGAATGCCGCCCTGGCCAATAGCAAGACAGGGTATCTGTGTAAACACGGAGCTTTGTGCACACAAATTGGCGAATGAGCAAACAAGCCATGGTTTTGGAACCGACATAGACTTGACTAAATCTACTATTTTGCCCCACGCAAGATGGGTGTGACAAAAATGCTATAAAAATGTTGCCTCCGCCCTCTACTGAATATAAAGGGGAAAATTCACATTATCAACAGAGGCTTCATATTGAATCGTTGACTGTTCTGATTAAATTCCTCCTGTGTGACGTAACTACTGGCCCCAACATGCTTTTTTCGTGTTTTTAAAAAATGACACGGGTGAAAAATGTTCACGCAGTTACAATACTTCCACTTAATGTGCAAATATGGAATGTTAGATAAGGATGTATGAGTTGTGCAAAAACAAATTTGAGCCGTCTGTTGCCTCATCATCACTCCGACTGCCCATAGTACAAGCCTGAAGTTGAAAACTACAAACCAACCTCAATAAAGTAGGCCTATAAACGACGAGACAGAGAATTGTGGGAAGCTTCACTCGGCTCTCCAATGAAAACTACCAAGGTTTAATGCCCGCGAAACAAACGCTGACATGCCCATGGTGACTAGATAGCTCAGTCGATGGAGCAGGTATCTGCCATGGATCGGAGACTGCGGAACGAAATATACCCCTAAACTTGAGGTGCGACTGAAGGTGCCTTTCCATCTGTACGTTTTTGGGGTGCGTTCTGTAGACGGTGCGTTTATGCGTTTCACTCTCATGGACGCAAACATCAACCATTAACATAACACACGTGTGGCTGCGGGAGCGATTTTGACGGATAGCGCCCATACACGCAACTCTTGGCGCAAGTATATTGACGCGCGTAGGGAAAGGCGCCTTGATACCGAATTTTAAACAATATATAACACTTTCAAAGGCAAAATCAGGGCATCTGTTATGTTGTTAGGGTCGCCAAGCATGACAGAGAAAAAGGAAACGGACATTTGAAAAACAAACGAGGCACTCTTTGGGGGAAAATGTAACAACGAAACCAAATATGCTTAATGACAAATCAAGCTATTTAACGATCTGATGATTTCTGATTTAAAATTTAAAAAGTTTTAAAAAGACCAATTGCACATAAATACTTATCACATTCACAATCTGATATTAAACCGGTTCTGTTGCTTATCAAAATCCCCATGAAATTCATCTGCAACCCCGAGCGGAATGGTTGAAGTCTACCCATCTACAGGTTCATCAAGTGCAGATGGGGACTAGCTGTACTTACATCCCTTAGTCACTGCTACACGCTGGACAAAAATACAGATGAGAAAAATCCCCTCCGTCAGTTAAAAAAGTTGATGATTAAAGTTATTAACTTAGTGAAAATAAAAGCGACACAGATGTGGATCAACAAACCTCAGTATAAGGACAGTAGGGAAAAAGTACTGTGACACTGTTCCAGGGCAGGAGATCCATACGGTAGTCCGTGGGTTTTGTTTTTCAGGTCCTCCGTCTCTTTTTTTGGGGGGGGGGATTGTAGAGGCAGGGGGAGAGAACTGTAATGACGGAGGAGGGAGAAGACATGATGTTAATTTCCCGTGACCACCAGCCTGGCGCCAGCGAATATTGGTGGTGACGAGCGAGCGTGCATACCCGCCGCAGCACTATGTACATGTGTGTTTGCCATGTCCAAGGGTCAGTTTTTTTTTATATAGAGGCGCATTGTGTTTTTCCTCCACCATTTCCTTTCAGGACTGCCTTTGGTCCAATGAATTTTCAATCGTCTTTTGCTCTTTGTTGCAAGCATACCCTGCGATGGATATGTGATGAAAACTAAAGCTTGTTTTATTCTGAATTTCAGTTCTATGCTTGATCCATTACTTATGACTATATTTTCAAATTAAATGAAATTCATTTCAACGATCTATAATTTGACTAACATATGTTCAATCAAAATTGACTATAAACTAATAATGTTGTGATAAGATTAGGAAAGACACCTGAATTCTATAAAATGGAAATCATATTCCAATCTTTAATGTCAAATTAAAGATGTCAGTAGAACCCGACCACTCTTAAACCTTATAGTATGATTCATGGATTTTGCTAAAAAGGGCAAGATGTAAACTGGAAGGAAATGTAAAAAAAACAAAACAAACCTTGTAACAAGATTCTGAGGCTTTGTATGTGTACTGTTTCCAACAATTCCACAAACCAAAATGCATTTAAGTCAATCATCTTCCAACGTTTTCCAACTGCTGTTGTAGTTTGTTGATCTACATGTATGCGGAACCCCCCCCCCCAAGGCTTCATTCAAGTCAGTATATGCTACTGTATTCGGCTTTGTATTTTACTGCTGTTGGAATCTCTTGGGTCCAGAAGATTACCTCGAGAAAAAGGGTTTACATCTGTCACAATATTACAAATTAGGATCTTGGATTTTTGGAGTGGCGAGTGTGATCAGGGTTGAACATTTTCATTGTTTCTCTGTTTCGTGACTATCTCGAGATAAGAGAGTCTCCAACTACATTTGGAGTCCTAAATTTCAACTCCCCCCCGAACTGACTTCGGCATTTAATTGAATAAACCCGGTCAGTCTGCCGCAATAGGTCAAAACTCACTACCCATGTATCAAAGTCTCTGACGCTCAACATGTTTTTAGCGACCTGTAGATAACCCCAGATTTATTTTAACCTATTTGGAGCGCCCCATACTTCAACACGCCTATTTTGGCCTAGAACATGACAGCACAAGGGGACAGGCTCCACGATACACTGGAGACATTGGTGATCAGTTATTACACGGGATGTAGCGCTGATCAATACTATTGTCACTGTTACTTGTGACTCACTGTCAGGCTGCACTCCACCCATGTTATCGCTGGCAGAGCTTTTCCAATTTCACCAGGATGCAACTGGCCTCCACATTGCCCTGCTGGGTCATTCTACTGGCTAAAATGAACCATGTCATTGGTAACATACAGTAAACTCCCCTAATAACAAAATTAAAGGGACCAGACAAACTCCTTTTTCTAACAGGAGTTTGTCATAACAGAACTGGAAAAACACAGAAAACACAAGAATTCAAGAAACTGGAATTCTCGGATTGTCAGACTTTGCTCTTTATACCAGTGTGCTTTAAAACAAGAGTCAACTGTATTTTATCACATGTACCATTTATTTTGTTTTAATTCATTTTTGTTTTGGTGACATTTTTTTGCTGGACTTTAATATGTATTACACAAATACATATTGATGTTACTTAGACATCCACAAAGGAAATAAAATTCATCTAGAATCTTGCTTCAATTTGAATTTTGAACCTGATGAAAAATGTTACAGTAATTATTGTCTGCAACAACAAACCCACACCTACACCATACAAAATCAAGTTTCCCTTTCAAGGAAGAGTGCTAATTGTGCATTTACAAAAACTTGAATGCGAATTTGGATTGTGCACAAGTACCATCTTAAAATGAAAATGTGCAAGGAATAAAGAATGGAATTTGTGAACTTGTTCACACATGCCATGAAAATGCATTCCTTCCCCAACCCTGAAGCTACTCAGTGCCCTCAACAGTGTATGCCAAAAACAAATGGAGAGAACGATAAAGACCCAATCCATCTGCAAAAACACTAAGTACACAAAATTTGAAAAGGGTTCCTTGCAAAGGGGAAAAGCAATCACAAATGTTTACCCCTTCTCTCTGTCTCTCGTTGCAAGGACCGACTCTTGGCAAGTCGCCAAGATGATCAAGAATTACATGCAGCAGCACAACATCCCACAGCGGGAGGTAGTGGACGCTACAGGGCTCAACCAGAGCCATCTGTCCCAGCATCTCAACAAGGGCACGCCCATGAAAGGGGCCAAGCGAGCTGCACTGTACAGTTGGTATGAGAAGAAACAGCAGGAGATCATGCAGCGTGAGTGGCATTTTTAAGAATGGAGATCTTGGAGGACTCGGGACTGTTACAGTTAACAATACTAAAACAAAAAGCTCTCAGGAGGCACACAGGTTCTACTGGCAGATCTGGGTTAAGCAAGTGGGGCCATCCCTCTCTCAAAAAGAGGCAATTTATTGAGGGGACCAAATACAATGGGAGAATGATTTTGGTAACTTTGTGCATGTCATCTGCCTTCCTCCCTAAAGTGTGCAAAAGGCCTTGAATTTTTACCTCATTTCTACATAAAGAAATCTTAACATTTGTTCTTTCCCTTCGAAACTTTGGTTCTGAATCTGCCCTTGACATGTCCTGATACAAAGGGGTCAGTGGGAAGTCACAGTGTGTTAAAAAGTAGGGTTTCTGGGCATCTACTAGAAAGTGACAGGTCCTGAGTTGTTCTCAGATTGTCCAGTTTGGCGTCCTCAGATCATGTTGAAGAGACTGGGTACAAAGCTGGCCAAGGCACAGTCTAAGAAAATCACATTATCGGTCACTAGAAGACAAACCACAAAAAGAAACTGACTGCCATGAACCATTTGCCCTTGATCAGCCTACCACACATAAGCAGGACATTGCTGAAGTAATTTTTCAAACAGTTGGGCAAGGTAGCCTCTCTCATCCTGCTGACCTTGGCAAGTGCATTTTATCATGTGGATATCTGAAACAGTAGTACTACTTTACTTTTCACTTGACAACTGAATAGGCTGTCAAATATATTTCCCAATCCTCTACCTTTTCCATCATTTTCATTTCAGACTTAGTTTTATGAATTCTGTACCCCGAGCTGAGACCCTTGCACTCATGCAGCTCCATTTTTGTCTACAGCAACATCAAATTGTGCAACGTGAGGTCACAATTTGGAGTATTTTGTATTGGCTCCAAAAGTGAACATTTGAAACCAGATGAAGTCCTACCTGAGTAACACTGATTTGTTTGTCCAACACTGAACAAGCTCTTACAAAAGATATTTCTGTGTTGGCCAAGGCAAACTTAAAATTTGCCAAAACAAAACCCCCACATCACATCAACACTAACCTTGATTTGACTGGCCTTGACAACAGAGTTCACAAACCCAGAGAAGGCCATCATGTCTGATGATCAAAGGGACACATCCAGGAGCAAGAAGATGCGACGGAACCGGTTCAAATGGGGGCCGGCATCGCAGCGGATACTATATGATGCCTACCAGCAGAATCGAAATCCTAGCAAGGAAGACAGGGAGAATCTGGTCGTTCAGTGCAATGCGTGAGTACATCTCAGTTGGTCAAATAAACACAAAGCACATTCAACGAAAGACAAAACAGACTAACAGGATTTGAACCTGTGATGCCTAGATTACGATGGGATTTTCCAAATCTTGGCTTTTCTCCACGATCTTATGATCACTTCAAAATTCCCACTGTGGAGACTAAATATGACCTCACCTATTACGAATTTTCAACATATTTTTCACCCACATAATGCCAATTGCTATTGCTCAAATGCTAAACTGAGTGATACAGCAAAACACAGAGCTCAGTTTGCTGAAATTTAATGTAACAATGTATCAAAGTAAGGTCCTCACAAAAGTACACTGTATCTTTAACCTTGACACTCCAAGAAGCTTAGGCCCTTCAAAATTTACCGGAAAGAGTCTGGAAGATTTTACAAGATTCAAGAGAGGCCACACCACATCTTCCACTTTTCATGGGACTTGATGCCCCTTTGAAGCTACAGAAAAAGGAATGTGCTGTGGGTTTTTCTATACAGTGTTTGATTTTGGAGGATTAGGGAAGGTTCCTTATGAGCACATGTATGTCTACGGGGTTAGGGCCTAGATTGTAGGGCCTACATTGCAGTGTTTTCGTCCATTATAGGTCCTTTCACAAAGCCAGTCCAAAGTCCCTTCATAAGACCAGTCAAAAGTAATAACACAGTGAGCAATAAAAAATCCTCAAGGAATGCTTTTGTCACAGTTCATGCAACTTGGCTTAAAAGACTGATGACTTGGGATGGACTTGCAGTGGGGGACTTGTGATGGGCACAACTACAACGTGGAGCTAACAACAGACCCTAGACCAACAGCAGTTTGCGTGTTTGCACAAAATTGCTACACATCGAAACTTGAACAGGGAGCGTGTAATCCCCCCGTATTCCCACCGCAAATTATCAGCCATCTTTGTTGCTAATCTGATTAAATATGCATGGACTCTGACCTCTATTATTTGACTTGTTTTCTCTACTTCAGGGTAAAGTGAAAAACACTCTGAATTCAGAGGTCAAATTTTGTTGGGCAGGGCAGGTTTGCATAGGTAGTTCAAAACATATGTTGCAAGCTAAACTATGACTGAATTTTTTTCCTCTAACTAATTGATTTTAAAATGATGAAACAGTTCCTTTCTTTGAAGACAACTGAATACCAACAGGTGGTGCAGCTACCACATCATATTTACTCAGCGGGTTTTTTCTTAATGATAAGCCAAAATATCCAGGTACATCATACATAATTACACACCGTAATTCACATTTACATGTCCACTGAATTCACTAGAAATATATTTCATGATTTGTGCAAACAGTATATATCAAATGTATTAACATATGGAACTGACAAGTTATGACCAAAATGTCCAAACTATGCATAAGCTTGATAACATCTTGGTAAAAATCAGTGCTGGTTTTTGACAATTTCCAAATAAAATATGATGCAAAGAGTGTACATCGTTCGGGGGACGAGAAGATAATTGGATGCAGATTATTCATTACCAGTCATGGAACAAGATATACATCATCAAGTGAAACAAACATGCTCCAAATATGAGAACCATTGGAGGACAATTGATCATTCACGCATGCAAGGGCAAATCAACCAAAACTCATCCCAGTCAATTTTCTGAAAATGACCAATCATATTTTGGGTTGGTAGAAAACTGATGATTGATATTGCTCTTCACCCTGAACTGAGTTTTTATTTGAAGATTAAAGGAACTTAGCGGATAACATAATTCAGATCCTACTTTTATAACATTATGAGGAAACGTAAGGCATTCCAAATGACATGCCAATAAAGACTTTTGATCTCAAGCATGAAATCCTGTTGATTGATCTCTTTGTTAGTGCAGAAAACTTTTACTAAAGTTACATTCACGTAAATTTGCATCCTCCTTGACCATACTGTGATTGAAAATATTTATATTTTCAAATTTTCTTAGAAATTAATACTGCAAAAATGTTTCATTTAAACAGCATGTTTCTTTAATCTTTTAAAGAACTAACGTGTTGGTGATAACATATTTTTTTATTGAAAAAAATTGAAATGTCACAAACCTGATGATGATAATTGGAACGGTCAAATCCTGTTACTTTTTGTCAATGTTAATGATTCTTGCCAAAGTTAAATTCAATTAAATTTGTGTTCTCCTGAACATTGCTGAGTTTAAACATATTTGTACTTTAAGGAAGATGTGAAAGTGGGACTTACATTTCAAAGTTTGTTAGAGATTCTGTAAATATGTTTTAGGTTCAGGTTTCATTTTAAAGGGTAGCTGCAATCGATTTGTTTTAGTATAAACACTCAAAGTGCACATTTGTGTCTCAGTTAACCTTATTCTCAACTGTTGTTTTACTATTTCACAGGGAATGTTACTGCCATTTTGGTTTTATGCTAATGAGTTTTCTGTATTCATGAGCAAAACCGTGGTGTCATCCCATGCAGAAAACTTCAGCGTTACATTGGCTTGAAAACAAAAAAGTCCTTCGTATTTGCAGATTTTGATGGACTAAATAATCTCTTTGCTGATTCACTTTTGGTCATTTTAAGTGTTTAAAAAGTGTACTTTTCATCCACTGAAGAAGAGTAAAGTTGCAGAAAAATTGTGTCGAAGAAAAATTCATTGCAGTTACACTTTAAAATGACCCTGAAGAGCCTGTGTTTTTTCTGTTTAAAGAATGGCTGTGGGTTGATCTGCCTGGCACAGAGAGACAGTATAGTTAAAATAATTGCTTTGGCAGACCACAGAGAACTCCATTTATGTTGTAACAGAGAAGGTGACAGAAGTGTGGTACCTTGACTTGCACCATTGTTCTGTATTTGTCCTGTGTTTAATTGCCATGCATAAAGCACACATATAATGGACAAGGGGATGTGACTGGGTTTTTAGTGCTGTGCAAAGATAGACCATTAAGCTATTTGTAAACCTCAAAGAGAGAAGTTTGTCCAGTGGATTTAACGGCCAATGACAAGTGGGTTTGAAAAGAGCTAGGTATTTTGGGTAAATGTTGGTCCACTCTTCAGGCACAAAGGCTCTGATCACAACAACAGGCTAGACCACAATGTAAGCATGTCTGGGCTACATCAACTGTTGCCGTCCAAGCGTCAGACTGGGCACATGAACCACAAAACATGGAGAAGAATATTTACAGACCAAAGTCAGAACATGTTCAATGACGAAATCAAACTTGGACAAATTGGCACACTCAAGTCTGCCTTCAGCTTTCTGACTTTCAGCCTTTGATCTCTTTTTCATACACATTTAAATAAAGAGTGCATTTCCAACATGCAAAGGATAAGTGCCATTTTGCTGTCTTTCAGAATCTTCCCTGCTCTCAGTTGTCTGCAGTCAGTTTCTACAGCTTTAAGACGGCTAAACACAACTTGAATGAGTCAAAATAGTGAAAAAAATGTACTTTGTGCATGCAAGTTTATATCTATGTGGCACAGAGAATGTGTGACCTATTTTCACTGTATTGTGCAGGTGCCATGTGCCCAGTTGGAAATGTTCGCCCAATCAGCCTCACTCCCCCTTCTTTAAACATGGGGGAAGACTTGTTCACAGGGAAAAGGCTATCATTCCATGTTTTTCCCCCAAGAAATTTTTACTGGGTGCCAAAAATGTGGCTGGTTTTGATACGGGCATACTCTTTATGATATTTTCACATTCTAGCTGTACAACCCAAACAGCTACATTTTATGAGGGGTTTGTGCTGTACATGGATTTTATATGCCCACACAGTTTGAGGGTTTCATTTGACTGTGTGGTTAACATCTGGAGGTGGGTGGACAAATATCCACCTACTTTGTCATTAAAAAAGAAACCCACGCACTATCCTTTTTCCTAGTGATTTCTGATAACCACAAACATCGGTTTCAGTATTTTCTGATCAGCAAACTTGGTCATTCCCCCCACAGAGCGGAGTGCATGCAAAGAGGCGTCTCACCATCTCAGGTCAGTGGCCTGGGAACCAACTTGGTAACAGAAGTCAGGGTTTACAACTGGTTTGCCAACCGGCGGAAAGAGGAAGCATTCAAGAACAAACTGGCACTCGATGCCCAGGGAATCCAGTACACAATACCAGGTAAAGATATGGTTAACTGATCCAGGTTGGAAGTTACTAAAACCAAGTAAGTAAATCCACTGAGTGTTGGCTTTTCTTTTCACAAGATCCGTGGGAAATCCTGGTCCAGACACAACGTGAAAAAAATGTTATTTTCTTGAAAATGTAGTACACTTTTGAAACTTGGCAGTTCTAACCAATTAAGTTGTAAATTTCATCAACAACTGCTTTGTAGCATAACAAAAAGTCATTCAAAAATTAACTATATACATCAGCATTACCAAGTGAAAGTGGTCACAAATCCAAGTTCACGCTTGATCCAAGGTTGTTACCTGGTTTGTTAACCTGGTTGTGAATTGGTGAAAGAGTTCCAGAAAAATAAAGCCATTTTTGAATAAACTAGAGCTCAGGATGCTCCTGGTAAAGTTATCTCGAAGTGACACTTGAAGTGAAACTTTGCAAATTGAGACATGCAATGCTGCCATTCTGTAACAATTTCAATCACTCAAAAGGAAACATGGATGACGGCAGCAGTCCGGACATCGTCATGGCAAACACAAGTGCAGGGTCCGCCACACCCTCAGTCATCCAGCACAATGGCCAGCCAGGCATCATGGGAGGTTGTCCAATCACATCCATGTCAGCACTGGAGTCCAGCCAATTACAGCACGCCATTTACAGCATGGCGCAACAGCAGAGTGGGATGAAAACCAGCCCTGCTACCCACCCCTCCCACATGGTTAGTTTCTAGTTTTTCAGACAGTTTTGTTTTTTTTCTTTCCTTTCTTGATAGCAGGCAAATACGCATACTGCCAAGCATACAGGCAAGTCTAGCATGGCTGAGTGAAAAACAGTAAGACAGGATATCAGTGGTTGCGGGCTAAATTCACTCAGTTAATACCCAAGATGACCATATTACCAGTTAAAACAGATTATCAGCAAACATTCCTTGACATAGGCAAGTTTGAGCAACAACCATTTACTGACCACTGGTCGATTTTCCCTGGTAGTCTACGTGCAAAATACATGTTGGGTACTGAGCAAAATCGACCAGTGGTTGACAAATGGTCTCTGAGGTATAGCAACAAACAGCTGTGCAAATGGATGCCTGTGAACCAATGAATGTGTGATGTGTGCTTTCTTGGCTACAGTACTTTGAAGCATCTTTACCAGTTCCCACATGGAGTTCCATGTATATTCCAGACCTCAACTTTGTCAAAATTTAAAATATGGCCCATTGTTACAAGCAGTTTACAGTCACTCAACAAAAACATTCAGCCTTAGACAGATACACAAGTACATATTCAATTTCTCACCTCTGGGCAGGTAACCATGCCGACATCTACCAAACTGCCTCTGGTCAGCTCGCTGCCAACGGTGACCAATTACAACCAGGCGCCATCCCGGCTGAGTCTACAAAGCATGGTGTACACAATGCAGCAGGGTCATTCACAGCAGCAGCAGCAACAGCAGCAACAGCAACAACAACAACAACAGGTGCACTCCCACAGCCGACAACCCTCGCAGATGGTGCAGATGCTACAAGGAACACAAGGACAAAACACAGGTGAGATATCCCTCAACCTGTATGGATTAAACAGTTATCCATGCTTTGGGCATCTGTAAAGATGTAGCTGAATCATTAAGAGAACTTTCTCTCAGGAAGAACCTCGATATCCAAGTCTGCTAGTAAGTCTGCTGACACCCACTACGATTTTTCACGCATATGATTCCATACATTTTGTTTATTCCAGTGCCAAATGTCCAAAACTGATACACATACATCAAGTTCACACAAGTGGTTGTAAAAATCAAAATTCTTAGATTCGACATACAGAAAACAAATGAAACTTGAGAAATTAAACTACAAGGCTGACTTTTCACTAACAATCTTCAGTGCACCTGAAGAAACTGAAAATCAACTTCTTGAACTCTGCCGTCCCCATACTTCAGAATTCAAAATCCCACGAAATCAGATGGTGCCCTTTAGCGAATTCAGATGATTAGGCCGTTCTCTGCGAAAAATCTCAGAAAAATGGAAATTTAATCACATATTTTCTTCTCTACTCCAGCTGCCGTGATACAGTCCCACAGTCCAGCAGTCAGCGTTCACCGGCTCACCACTCTCAATTCCACCACCCAGCCTGACCATCACCCTCCCCACTATACGGTGGCCTCACGGCAAGCGGCACAACGCAGATCCCAGCAGCAGCAGCAGCAACAACAGCAGCAACAACAGCAACAACAACAACAACAGGGACAACAGCAACACCAGCAGCACCAACAGCAGCAGATGGCACAGATCCAGCAACTGCAGAATCTCATCGAGCCCAGCTTCCTACAGCAGCTCAGTCAAGGTTGGTAGTCGCGTCACTCCATCCAATTCACTGAAGGATGAAAAACAAATTCACAATTCTTGATATCATAAAGATCGTGATTTTTGTAAGATGGAGTACAGCAACAAATATGCTGAACAACCCACATCAACTTTCTGGTAGGTTTGTTTGTGTTTATTTTGTGTTCATTTTGTCTCAAAACATGCAAAGAGAAAGTTACTGGATTGCTACTTTTTGGACAGATTTGATATCTTTCCATGTCACTGTTTACATGCATGTCTATAAAAGCCTATATTTTGTTGTTCTAAGCAACATACCATGGTCTGCAGTGGTTGTTTTGAAAAAGCTCAAATTCAATCAAATAAAAAAAAAATCAAATCAAATTTCAAAAAGTGAAAGAACCCAGGGCATTACATACCCAATGTTGATTTTAAAGAATAGCACATAGGCAGCACGAATGAGGTCACTTTCTGGTGAATATTTATGCAGAAGTCACACAGGGGCCTGACTGATCAAACAACATCAGCATGTTTGGGAAGTTTCCCTGCCCTAACCAACAGAACGTGACAACAGAGGGTTCAGGATGTTTCCTGGATACCACCTTTAACCTACTTGAAACGCTGATTACTTATTCATTTTATTTTTTTATTTTTTATTTTAAGGTCATGGTGTCAGTGAGAAATATCAGTACAATGCCTTAGCACAGCACTGACTCATCACACTACTGCAAGTATCTTGTTCTAAGACTGTCTGGCTTGGTATTGTTTGCTGCCTGGCTAAAGGGCATGATCAACAGTAAATTGTATTTTTGAAAAATCCTGGATGACTTTTTCTTGCTGTCACTCATCACAAGGGGGGCAAAATTTGTCTGTATAATACATGTTCATAACCTTTTCGCAGTCTGCCTCCCTCGTGGCTGTACAGCCTACTGAGCATGCTAATTGTTTTGTGGCAAACATACAATCACCACATGTACATATATAATGGATTAGAATAAAGTTCTCACAGAGTACCTGTTGAGAAGCGGCAGAAAAGTAATCTGACTAAATGTTGCCTTATACTTCTAAGAGGCATAGAAGATTGGTCAGTCAAGTGGTGCAGCTTTTAAAAACTGTATAAACTTACTGGTTCATTTGGTCTTTTTCTCCTGCTTATCCCTGGTACACAGTCATGAACCAGCCCAAGGAGATCCAGTTGAACCTGCCCCAGTCCCACCACCATCAGCACCAGTCGCCCCATCACCTCCACCAGGAGGTCACCATCCCCGTCAATGTCTCCGGCGGGGCCGTCACCATGACCACGTTGGCCACCCTCAGCCCCATCAAGATCTCCGACATGGCCGAGCTGCCCATGGGCGCGCTGCAGCCGGCCGCCAAGCCGGCCCGGGAGGCTGGCAACATCACCATTGTCTCCACGCCACCCGGCTCAACTGCGGCCGAGGACATGGAAGACTCCAAGGCTGGTGTGATCCTCGGGCGGGCAGCAGGCGGCCGCTATGTCCGCCTCTGACGTTGATGGCAAAGGTAAACCATTCTGCTATCAATATTACTCCCCTCTGGATTTACAATAGCCAAATACTACGACCTATTACCACTTTTGTGGCAAGTAGAAATGGGTTGACATGAACCAGGTACCATAAAGATGTAAACTTTACAATCAAGTTGTATGTTCTTTCTCACTTGAAATGGTCATCAGTAACCTCTGCACACACAATTGAAATCTACTTTAGCATGATGTGTAGCCTGAATTATATTTAAAGATGTGTTGGAAGAAATCTTTTAAAAAGTTTCTATCTCATTGCCTTAAAGTTACTAAGTTGTAAGTTGGTTACAGATACTCAATCTAATAATTTGGAATGATTACCTGACACCATCGGATGGGTACCTGGTTCTGGTATACATGTACACAACCCTATTGGTTAAAACTCTCTGCACTAACCACAACGGCATTTTTAATATTGAACAATATGTGGTGTGACTTCTGAGCAATGGTTCTTTTTTTCCCAAGAGTGTCAAAATGAGAGAGCTAAAGCAAGGCTAATGTTCATAAAATTGGCCGTTAACAGAAGAAAAGGAGTTTTTATGATTCTCAACTTCCTTGCAGAGAACATGTGCTTTTGCTGTGAACAGGTAAATTGCTTGCTCTCATATTTCCATTTGGAATTTTTGTTTTCATGATTTGTACAAGTTAGTTTTGAATATATACATGAACAGTTCATGAATGTCAGATTCTTCTATCAATTTGTCTCCCCAAAACATTAAAATCCCGTGAAATTGTGTACAAACCATCAGCATTATTTGATAATGACATTGTAATAAACCGTCCTGAGAAATGAATATTTTGTGAAAAGCTAATTTTTACTGCTATATATTTCCATTCCAAGATGACCGTCTGGCACAAAAAGGTTCCTTTACAATTTAATTTTGGTTTGTTCGGATGAAATAAAAGTTTGTATTTATGGTGCTAGCATAACGTCATACTTTTAAGAAAAGTTTTTCCTTTATGGCTACTGAGGTGTACATATTCTAGCTGTAAATACATATATGGTGCATGTGAAAAAAAGTTGAGAGTTTTATCTGATTATCTTTTACCTCCTTCATGGTTGTAGATTACTGCAGATTGTAAAGATTCATTTTCCGGACAATGCTTTTATCAAAATTTTCATATATTGCATGCCTACAACCCAAATTCCCAATCACTCTTAAAAACTTTAATCAGCCTTTTGTTTTACACATTACCTTGGGTAGTAACATATTTTTCAACAGGCCATTTGCAAGTTAAATTTGAATAAAATTTGGTACACTGATTGCACAGAAACATAACAATTTCAATTCTCCAGACTGAAGACGCTGTTGCTATGCCTCGTGATTTGTGGCAACCTTTTGCACAGCCACAACCATCTCTGGCATGAACTGGTTCCTGAGTACCCTTCTTACTTACATGTATTTAGAACAGTGTGTCATTGCAAGGTACCTCTTATGTAACTAAACAAAAACTTGCCCTGAATCACAAGGCATAGAAACAGTAGTTTAAGTATGGGGAATTCAAATTATTATGTCCACATGAATTTAAAGAAGTCACTGTACCAGATTTTGTTCAAATTAAACTTGCAAAAGGCTTATTCAATACCCTGTTTTAGTCATTCTTGTGCAAACACGGAACTCTGTAAGAGACAAGGGAATTTTAGAAGATGTGACACTTAGATACAACACTGATATAACCAGGAGACATTTCATTTTGATGTACCTGTACATGGACATATATTTTCTTTTGGGGCAAATTGGATGTTTGGATAGGAACATATATCATCTAAGCCTTGTTATACCACTGTACAGGTGATGTACATGTACATGTTGTTATCTTCTAAATTTATTTATTTGTTTCCTGCAACTATTATTAGGACTTGGTTTGACTAATTTTTCTGTTTGTTTCAAAGTTACCTTTGTGCATTTACAAAGGGAGGTTTGGATATTTTGTCTGCTCCGCTTTAAAATGTTTGGTGTACAACATTTGTTCAACCTACACTGAGTGATATTCAGGCAACAAAAGATCAGTTTTAAAAACTGTGTTCAGGTGATGTCTCATCGACGAAGGAATACAAGATCCAAAATAACAAGGTTTTCATAGGTGATAAACTTACATGTACATGTATGTAAGTGATGCTCTGAAGCATCTGTGTAGGAATAAGGTTTAACAGCAAATATTCTTTGAATTTATCCATTGTAATTTCTTGTCATATCCAAGAAAATTGAAACTCTGTCATAAAAATTCAAATTTCTGAGGTTTTCTGGATAGACACCATCTTGAAAAAAAACAATCAACTAACAACGTATCTGTAAACAAGCCTCCAATACAAAACACTCATGCATATAGAGTGTGATTTTCTTAGTCTGACAACGAGCGCAAGTTTGTGTAAATGGAAAAAGAAATTTTTACAAGTAATTTGAGAGTTCTTATGGGAACAGGTCGTGTAAGTTTGAGAGAATTGGGCCTTTTCACTTTTTTTTTTTTTTAGTTTGGATCCTGTATTCTGCCAGCATCCCTTTTTTGTAGTAGTAGGAGAAATGTTTTGCTCATTGATCTCTTGCCTGTAAATATTTGTTTCACTGTGGTGTTATTGTTGTCAGTCATGTTTTCTTTGCCTAATGAGGTGTAGGTCTTTTGTAAAAAAACACACACAAAATCAAACCAACATTTAACAAAAAGAAAAAAAATCCTGTTTCATGTTTCAACAGCTGAGATTGTGAATGGTTAAGTTTCTAAGTTTGTTATCATAATTTTATTTTTGAACTTAAGATTCTTTTTTTTAATCTGCCTTGGGAAACCTTTGGACTGTAATCTTGGTCTGTGTAGCTCACAATACTGGCAACCTATTTTAAATACTTGATGAGAAATTGAACATTAAAAATGAATTTATTGACATGTGGATTGATTAAATTTTTGCAATTGATTAAAGAAAACAACCAATTTTGTGGTTAACCTAATAGCAAATATTGAAAAGGGAGTATCGTGTTTAGCTTCCTGCACTGGAGAGTTTAATCTCTCTGACAAAGAAATGGGACAAAAAGGAAAACTGGCAATTTACCTTCCATTGAACCACATTTTTGCACCTTAAATTCCCCCCTTTTGGAACAACCTGGCTTCACCCTTGCATGGTCACACAAACTGCGGGAGAAGGGCAAAATTTATCCTTGGAGTACATTAGAGGATTCTGCTTTCATTTTTTAGCAGATGTTATTTTTTACCACCACGTCATTGAAAATGCAGCAAAGTTCAAGTAACGTGACTCGGCACCTGAATTCCGCCTTTAGAAATCTAAAAAACTCACCCACGCCAAATTTGGTTTGCATCAAAGCAACGACAGTATCTCTGGTGTAACAGATAAGGAAATACAATACAAAGTGAGGTGCTTGTATTCCGTTCACTTCCCGCTTTTTTCCCCTTTTTCTTGTTCTGAGCGACAATTTAAAAGGGGTCGATTAGAACCTGTCAATTGACTGCCATGTTGGGGAGGGAGATTTTTTTTTTAATGGATCATGATAGCGTGTTTGCTCCACGTAACCCTTTGAAAGCACTTTGGATAGCACGGTTGGCGGTTGCCTGGTAACCGTATTTGGGTCACATAGTACAATGACTGCTGCGTGCTGCACTGACAAACTGCCAATCAAGAGAGCACTTTGACCATGCTCAAACACAGATATAGTATACATGTACTTGTATCTTTGAGATGCAAGTTCTGGCCAAGATGGGGAGAAACTTGTTTTTCTCATACAAAATAGTCAGAACTGTTAGGCTTCAAAATGTTCACGTCTCTGGCCAAGTATAGTTTCAATTTAAGACTGGGCTATTTCAAACTGAGCTTATCACTTCTGATTTTTTCTAGCTTTAATTTGGCCTCCTATTCAGGTACTAAATTCAAAAACTAGATTGGCAAAGCCACCATGTCTCACTACTTTGTTTGAAACATCTTTACCTCAAAACTAACTCACGTTAAGAGTCAGCCATGCAAATTACAAATAGCCCTGCTAAATTAAGGAAATCATGCTGAGTGCAAGCTTGTCAAATTTTTACAAACAGCATAAACAGATAAAATCCAACTCTGACTCCGCCCCCACCCATCATCCCATCCATCTCCAACTCCGCCCCATCATCGCATCCATCACTGACTCCACCTCCACCCATCATCCCATCCATCTCCAACTCCGCCCGCATCATCCCATCCACTCTGAC